TGTAATAACATCGAGACGCGTCATGAAATGCAGTGTTTTCAGGCGGGAAACACGCAATTTGCTTCCGCTTCATTAGATATGGTCCTAGTGATCGAATGGCCATGGTTCACTTCAATGGGAATCGCAGTCCACTTCGAGATTGCGCGTCGAAATGCATCCACACAACGTGTACTTCAAATTGACCCACCAATCTGTCATTAACCGTTGTGGCAAGCTTTGCCGTCGTGACCCGGTGGCTTAGGGGTAGCGATTGCAAATAACATCCCAATAGTCCTGGGTTCGATGCCTGGTATCTCTATCTGATGAGATTTGATAACATCGAGACACGTCACAGAAGTGCAGTGTTTTTAGGCGTGCAACACCCAATTTCCACCTGCTTCATCTACGGTCGTCGTGATCGAATGACCAAGGTTCACTTCAATGGGAATCGCAGTCAATATTGAGACTTCGTGTCGCAATCTACCCACACAACGTGTACTTTTAAAGGACCATCAATAACAAGACTGTTTGTTTTTTGCAGGCTAAACCAGAAATGAGATGCGTATATTTGCCGCGAATCCATATCTGACGTCTTGGGAACCACTTCGAGATGCTGCTAGCCGGGTAGTGTACCCTCAACTGATCTGCAGATGATGAACGAGCTACGTGTCCGCATGTCGAAGGAGCCTGCTGCATTTAGAAAGTTAGAAAAGTGCATGTGGCGCAATCACCACCCTACCGTTGGAACGAAACTGATGGTATAAGAGCATATGGTGCTGCCCGTTATTTGAAACGACGGTGAAACCTGGACGATGAACCAGATATGTGAATCGGTATCAGTAACAGTGTCTGTGACGGATTTTACGAATCGGCTGGTGCGACAGTGTTGCAGGCACGGAAGTGCTGCGTTGCAGTTACATGCATGCAGTGGACTGCATACTTCTGCTGGGGCACGTGAGGTGGCTGGGGCATATCAGCCGCATGGATTCAACGCGGAGGCACAAGCAGCTCTTATATGGGCAACTTAATTCGGAGAAGCGCCATGCTGGAAAATGGGAGTCACGTTACGCAGACATGATCAGCGCGAGTTTGTCACCAACTAAGGTTGATTTCAGATGCTGGGAGTCAAAGGCAGTTGATCGGCGAGAATGGCGTGACTTGATCAAGAGAGCGGCCGCTCAGATGCAGCAGAAAACACTGTTACATGCCGAGGACAAACGCCGAGGAAAGAAGCGACAGGCGCCGATAGAGTCTACCCAATCGATCTCAGACGCATGGTGCTGCATCACATGTAGTCGCGAGTGCCTGAGCCAAGGGGGCTTGGTAAGTCACCAGGTGTTACCACGTGGAAGCATTATCCGTAAGACGACGAGTCAACTGATTAGCTAAGTATTAATCACCTTCATTTGATTTACTAACCTTGGCTAATCAAGCGACTGATGTGGTACGTGTGCAATATTGTCGTTGCACTTGTTCCGTACGTGGGCATGCGTGTTGAGTTTCTTGCATTTCAGGGGTTGGTCAGAGACAGTTGTTTGTTGCTGAAGCGAAAGGAGCGCACGGTCCTCGTGAGGGTGCTAGGCTCAAAGAGTGGTCTTATGTATCCAGTGTGGAACGGGCCATGGCCCAGCTACCACCACCTTGTGCATGTCTGATGTGTATGATTTCCCAATAAGGTAGGAATGCCTCTGTTCTGCTTGTTGAAGGAGTGTGGGTCGGTTCCGTTGATGAAACGTGGCTCCCATCCACATGCCTCCCGGACTTATTCCTTCAGTTATCTACCGGACATGGGATGTGTGGATGGAGCTGCGGATGGTGCAGCGCAAGCCACCCATATTCCCGCTGTTGGTGCAGGCGTCCCGCGACTGTCCTATGGAAGCCACAGTGACAGGCAGATCCGGGATCGGATGCCGTCAACAGTAAGCGCGTTCGGGATGGCGGTTAATTCAAAGGCATTTATCCGATATCACTGAACACGCTGCAGTTAACGGAACAACTTAGGAAAGTACAAATAAGTATGTATGCCACACCAGACAGCGCACATGCTTCGGTGGGGACAAGAAAATATCGCTTTGGATTTTACACCAACCAGAGTGCCAAATGGGTGTGCTCACTATCAACATCATCATCATTACACACGTCAGCTAGAGGTGGGAAACACCTCAGCTACTGTGCCGCAATACATAAATGGAAAAGGAAAATAAATACAAAAGTTGCATGCCAGCTGAGCTACCAGCAACGGATAGTCATCGTTCCGGTAAGCTACTAGCCAGCTACTAGGCAAAGAGAAAAAAATTATTATGTTTTACCCTACGAAATGAGATCGTAGATGGAGGGGGAGGCTAGAAAGGATGGAGAGGGACAAAGAAACTCACAGCACAAACGCCACTGAGGTCGGCTCCTTGTCATGTCAGCAAGTGTATCCAGCCAAACGTGTTCACCGTCTTTTGGACCCCAACCAGGGACCCGTGACGCTCCAACCGAGGCTAGCTCCGAAGTGAGGGACTTCATTCACCTGGACCAAGTTATCGCTTGGCCACCTCTTCTCTTCTTCCACCCACATACCCGGTGAGCAAACAACGCACGTCGTGGAAGCCGAGGGGCTGGCATGCGCAACACGTGACCCAGCCATCGGAGTCTGGTGCCTGAAATGACGGTGCTGAGCGATCTAGTTCCTTCCCCTGTGCCGTAAACAAGGCGTCAAACACGCTCGTTACTCACCAGATGTGAGCCAAACTGCGAAGACACCGATGGTCGAACGTAACTAGCCTCTTCATGTCCGCCGATCTTAGGGGCCAGGTTTCGCAACCGTACAGTAAGGTCGAACGTACCGCTGCAGTGTACACTCTATCCTTCAGGGCGAGAGTAATGTCGCACCGCCGCCGTAGGTGGCGAAGGTTTGCAAAAGCACTTCCAGCTTTTGCTATACGGATCGTGATCTCGTCTCCGATCCCAAGGGCGCTGATACAACTTCTCAGGTACTTGAATTTCTGAAGGACTTCCAGCTGATCTCCACCAAGGGTCAGCGCAGGAGGCGGTCGCTGCCAATCATGGAGGAATGCTTTGCATTTCAATCATGCAAAGCAAAGCCCGAAGCGGCTGACAGCCAGTGTAAGTGCTGCCTGCTGACCGACCTGTAGTAATGTGCGTACGTTGAGGCATGTCAATCTGAAGGAGGATCGAGGGCTCCAAATGGAAGCCGATGAACAGGAATAGACCGCTTGGTTGGACATGGGCTTGTCGACAGGAGAGAAGTAATGCTCCGCGTTCACATCTGAGTTGAAATTAGAAGATAAATGCCTAGCAAAGCATATTGGGGAAGGGCCAATAATCGGGGGTTGAAAACTGGGGGGATATAAGTGAAGTTGGAACGGGACGGTAAGAGTGAAAAAGCGTAAGAGGGGGAATAAGACGATGGGAAGGCTTGAGCAGTAGCATACAAACTCCCAACCACCCTGCTCGATGCAGCAGATAGGGCACCGTTGATTATCCTCTGCGGCGGCCAAAGCATCAAGAAACTGTTTGAAGAGAAATTCATTGTTTCGCGTGGGCAGGATACTGCCAGGTTGCCCAGACCTAGACAGGAGAACGATTAGGGTTCTCAACCAAAGCCTTTGGTTCAAAAATCTTACCGCAAAGCAGCGGGTTTGGCGTTGGGCTACAAGGAGTCCGTTTTAAGGAATAAAGTGCCACCCTCATTCCAACCCCCAACCTGGAGGACCAAGAGGCTCAGTTTGTCTGGCCTCTAACCATTGACCAATCTGGTATGAGTGACGTTGAAGGTGCAAAAGCACCACCCAGAATAACTCAATGGATTGCTGAGGCATACAAACCACCACGTTAAGGTCCAGCCTCATTGCGATGGCATGGTTCTGCTACAGAGGGATACAACAAATGGCCAGATGTTTACTAGAGGCTTAAACTGAGTGATGATAAGCCTTTTCTGAAGTTAACAGTCCAGAAACATATACTTGAATTCAGTGATGGCAATAACTGATTCCCTATGCGACTTTTGTCTATGAACAACTCGTACAGTCATCTGTCTCCGACTGTCACGCTACACAATTTATCGTATGATCGGCTCGATCGATTTCTACGCCGATGTACAAAACATACCTGCCTATTTTTTACGTTAACGATATATTACCTCTTTCACATAATTCTTCTTTTCTATATTCTTCCTTATTTCATAGTTGGCCACGAATGGGCTGATCTCCTGTGGCGACGGATTACAGCTTCCAGATTATAAAAGACGTTACCTATGCAAGGCAAATTGCCACCAACTGTCTGGCGTATAAAAAAGTGCCATAATAGAATGATTCGCATGACGGACTGGGCTGAGCCTTCATGGCCCATAATACATGTTCAAAAACAGCTCTAAAATGAACAAAACATATGATATACAGGTGATGGCTCATATGCTACTATGCCACACCGGCACACGGCCAGTTATTGCATGGAAGTGCGAGCGAAACCTTTCGAGGGAATACCTTGCATGGAAGCAGGTCCCCTGGGGATGGTTCCACGAGTGGCCGTATTACTTTAACTGGACATCTGTTTAAATCTGCTTACGTTATTGTTCCTGCTTTTTAATTTCTTTAATACCTTAATCCTGTCAATTAGTTTAGTACCTGTTTTGGATCCATTGTAAAAAGGGTGAACAAATTGATTATTTTTTGTGCAATCCTGTTATACACATTGATCAGACCACATAGTTGGACTGCACCTCGAAACACCGAGGAATATAACATTTATTTATTTATTTTACTCAGGGTCGAAAACTGTGACGTTCGGTTAATGGTATGCATAGACCATTTAGGGTACGCGGGCCGACGATACAAAAAAACATGAGGCAGCTAAGCCAACAAACCGAACAGTCAAGGCGTGGTAACGAACGTGCAGAGGAAACCCCTCGTAGCACTTACCCGCTGCTAAGGCAGAGTGGTAATTAACGGAACACCAACTGCGTTATCTGGCCAGACAAGTACTTCACACAAAATGAGGATAAGAAAACAACTCACTGATAATAACGATAACTATGATGAACACGACGATTCCCATGATAACCATGAGCTGAAAGAGAAAGGCAAGTTTAAAGTAGAGATGTGAGAATCAGTGAAGTTGAAAAGCGACAAAAATGGTGGGATGAAAGCCAAAAGGTGATTCCATGTTAAGAATATAGAACAGAGACAACAGACAATCAGTTGTTACACTAAAAAGATGTGGAAAGAAATTGCTGTAATTTAACGTCAACAACTAATTAGGTCGCCATAAAACACGCAAATGTTACAAGAGCTTATGTTGATCCACAAAGGACAGTAACCGTGCTTCCTCGTGACAGGATGCTACCAATCAATAAAAAAAACTTGTCGCCCTCTGAAATGACAGGGTACAGCAGTAGCATCGCATTCCGGCTAGTTATAACTGTCTGAGAAAGGACTAAAAACAAGGCACAATTGAGGGGTCATCAAATTCCACGCTCTGTTCAGAATGTAGTGAAGGCAAAAAAGCGACGCTGGTATCAGCGAAGCTCAAAGAAAAGTTGCAATAAACCAAATACACTAAGGTGTGGCTACTGATCCATAAAACCAACAGACAGCTGTCTCGTCCTCTCGGAAACTGGTAGGGGTGAACGTCCCAGTTACTAAGTGATGACTAAGAAGTCGGGACACTATTCTTTCGAGGCAGCGACCGAGACTACAAAGCCACGAGAGATAGTGGTAATCCTCATGAAAAAGCAACTGGTCGTGATATGGCGCGACCAATGCTTCTCTGATATGTGCGCGACTAGGGTATGGTCTGGTCCCCGGAGACACGTCTCCCTATAGTGCAATGGCAACATAGGCTAACCTGGCTAAGTACCGATTTGGGAAGTAGAACAGGAGAAGCTCGGTCATGTTCCACTTGGACCACTAGTGAACAACCTTGTAAAAAGTCAGGAGAATTACTGAAATCATTCATAGCGAGAGTAAGCGGATGATAGGCCGTGAATGGCGGGAATAAGAGGTTAGCAACGATTACATGCGCCTTAAGCAATACAAGCCCTCCTAACAGATTCGTTTCACCGAGACTTGGTCACATGTCGTGCAAGCGGTTACAACGGTTTCGTTCACATAGGGAAATTCCGTGGCAATCATTCTATCACATGGCGACAAAAAGATAGAGCTCTAACCCCTGTTTAGCTGTCGTCGGCACCGTGCGTGTTCCGAATAGGGAATTCAAAGATGAAGAAAACCGCCGGATTGTAACACTTAAAGCCATGATGTGAAATCGAGTGCAATGGAATGATTGTAAAGACTTAGGCTTAGATTCAGTGGCTTAACAACAAGAGCAAGTAGCTAAAAAGACTGAAAAGCACGTGAAAAAAACGCAAAGCTTTCTCCCTAGTTGTTATATTTGTTTCTTTATGCCGCCAATGTAAGCACTATGCACGTGTTCTCCATGGTTTATGACAGTCCCATATGATTGTGGTTGAGGTCGCATTACCCCTTTTATCTGACCTGTAAGTGCTGTTCTACCTACGTTCACTTGAAACATTTGTGATATCGATGGATTATGCAAAGCGGTTTATTTTGAAGTGAATCGCTCTTGGTTCATTCACTGGGACTGCAGCTGATTTCGAGGAACATTAGACGTTGTTCTCCCGAAAACATTGTACATCACAACGCGTTCCGACTTCATTTGATATTATCAGGTGAAGATAGCAGGACTGCACTCGAACCCGAGGTCTTCGGGATGTCAGCCGAAGCATCTACCCCTAAGCCAACGAGTAACGGCGGGCAGCGTTTGTTGTGACGACTAATGAAGAAGGCATTAGGTGTACGGCAGTATGCGGTAACGACGCTTCGCTGCCGCGCAATCACCACCAGTTGCACGTTGGCTAAACATACTACGAGTGTCGCCCGATCCCCTAGGAAAACTCGAACCCGTGTCCTCAAATAACATGAAAGGCTTGTGATCCCTAAGACTACGGGTCGGAAGGTCAGTGACGGACTGCACGGACCATTGTGAAGCACTCGTTGGGACAAGGGTTGCCCGCTGCCACCTGGTGGCCTAAGGGTAGAGATTTCGACTGACATGCCAAAGGTCCCTGGTTCGAGTGCAATCTTTCTATCTCCACTGAAGATAACGAGTGAGGTGGAAACGCGTCGTGCAGCACAGTGTTTTCGGGCGGGCAATACCCAACGTCCATTCATGATTTTTTAGGGACACATTAATCGTTGTGGCAAACATTGCTCGCACCTCGGAGGCATAAGTGGAAAGGAGCTAGCCAGTAGCCACTACATCGCGCGTTAGAGACTATTTCTGCTCTCTATCTGACGAGTGCAAGCAGATGTGGAACTAGTCATGTGTGCAGCGTTGCGAGTGATTAACATTCGAATACGGCCTCAATGATAGAACTAGTATGGATTTACTTCGGGGTAAATCACGACCAACATTAAGACGACATGCCAGAATAAACTCACCTGACAGGTGTCTCAACTTAACCCAGAATGTCCTGGAGAAACACAATGAATTAAAATTGTTGTAGCATACCGGACAGTGACAAAAGTTCAACGTTACATTCAGTGGAACAAGGTCGCTTCTTTCGACCCTAAGATTAGAAAATGCTAATGTCGGAATACCGCTGTCATCTGAACAAATGGTGCTGAACTGCTGTCTAGTTAATACGCCGCTGTGACTCAGTTTAAGCTTTCACTCAATCCGAGCTTAGTCTGTTGCTATCTGACCATACTCAAGCCACCGGGACTGCTTAAAAGGCAAAACAGAAGCGACGAGTGGTTGTCGGTTAAGAGAGGCTGGCTTGCCGAACAACTTCCTCGTGGTGCCAGCTGGGTGGTTCCGGATTATCCCGTTCCAGCGAATGGTTCGGCGGCAGTGTTCCAGGACGTGGTGGGTTTTCGCCTGGCAAACATTCTCCCTACAAAAAGCCACATATGTCCGTTTAACAACACTGTGACGTGGCGGATGTGACTCGTCCCTAAATAAAGTCACTGCCCCTTGCCTCTCACTGAGTGGCATTGTAATTCAAGGGTGCGTTGGGCCCCTGGTCCTATGCGGTCCTAAAAGCGTATGAACCACTTGTTTGGTCACCGGCTCCCAATGGGTTGCGATACCCTCATATCGCCCTGCTGCCTTGCAGGTTAGATCCTTGATCAAAGGCTCGGGGTGGGGCCCCCTAAGACAACCCTCTACTTCGGCCTGGGCAACCGGGTAGTATCTCGCCCACTGACAATCATGGACTTACAACCACAACCATTCACCCGCTGTCTTGTTGATTCGTCTTCTTGTTGACCTTGAGAGAAGTTGCGTGCTAATCGCTCACTTGTGCACTCGTGGTTTTTTAACTGTGGTTCAGCGACATTTTGTCGCACACCTTTGGATCCATACTCATTCGTCGTGCTTTTACAAGCTCTACTTTGTGATACCAGTTTCCCGAGTATACCCCAGTGCATCCTACATTTACCCTGATTTCTAACTTCCGGGCCGTGTTTCGTCGATATCCAAGCGGCAAAAGTTGTCTAACTCCAACCATCGGAGACATTGTTTGGTCTCACTCGATAGACCATTTCAACGGCTTTCGAACGAACTGTCACTCGTTCAAATCCAACATTGCTCGGTGCAGCTACAGGTCTCAAAGCAAATTCACCCGGCGCGATCCATAGGCTAAACCACGAAAATTCTCAATCACACCTTCGTGTATTCTGCCCCACGTTCAAGCCGTCACATTCAACTGGCACGCCAGAGAGGACAGTATAAAAGTACACAACTGCAACGTGATCACTGTGACCTTACCGACAACGTCAATAACAGAACGACCTTTTACCATAGGTGAGTCAATCAAATGGTTCGTAACATTTGCTCAACAAGCGTGATGCCCGGCGTGTCACAGACTAAAGACCTATGTGGATCATGCTCCAAACTTGTTAAGGGGGGCATTTTGTGCCGTAACTGTTGCAAGTTCTTCCATGCGAGATGCCTCAGAGTTCAACCTAGTCAGGCCAAGTTAGTAAACAAACCAGACTCGCTATGGTTCTGTGTGGAATGCACATCGATCCCACTTATAAAAAGCGTGCTCCTATTATCTCAGAAGTATGACCAGCTACTAGCGAAGTTTGAGGAAATGGTGACCACCAAAATCACTGGGGTTGGGGTAAGCATAGCAGACTATGCAACCCAATCCTCTGCCGTAAGTGCTTCTCCTAACCCGCGAAGAACTGTTAATAACACCGTAAGCAACACGACACCTAGAGTCCAGAACATCAACAGCTGTCCCAATACCACATGTAGCTCACATTTGACTAAAGCGGTTCCCAGTTTGATCGGAGTAACTACAAGTAAGGCAACATCCAAACTCCCGACGGAGTGCGTAGAAAAAGAGCAAGCCGTTACGAACGAAAGTTGGGTTACGGTTGCCTCCAAGAAGAGCCGTCATATAAAAGTAACATCACCCTCAACTGGATCGGAAACTGAGGAGCGTAGCGGAGTTTTCCAGGTGCAAGCACCACCGGTTTCCTGCGGTAAATCTCCGATTACTTCAGTCACTAAACGCTACATGTCAAAAGGTCTAAAGAAACAACTACTTGTACTGAGCGTACTGTGCTCCAATATCCCAGAATCAAATTCGACATCGATAAGAGGCAGGCAATTGGATGACCTCAACCAGGGGGACAATATTAGTAACCTAATCGGTGTTGTACTTAAACCTGTACACGTAATGCGTATTACACGACACCCCAACTCTAAACATTTCGGAGAGCCGAGACTTCTGCGTGTTGTGCTGAACTCCATCATTGAAGTAGAATCAGTACTACTGTCGGCAGGTAGTCTCAGAAATGAACACTGCTCCATCCGTATCTTTCCAGACAATCCATGGGGCGAGCGTTATCGAGTTAACCGCACCTTAGAGGACTATCGGAAAGAAACTTCAACCAGAACCATACTTCTACACGGGGTTCCTGAAACCGAAGTATGTGATCAGCATGAAATAACAACCCATGATAAAGAACAGTGGTGTTATATTCGTGAAACACTCCGCTTGGATGATGTGGTAGCGAAATCCGTGTCACGAC